AAAAATACAAAATCACAAATAAGAAAAGAAAAAGTTAATGACACTTAAGGTGCAGCTTTCAAAAACCAACAAGAAAACTGACAGACCATCCGCTCTGCTGAAAATCAGAAATGCCCCGCACAGATGAGGGTGCTTCTCCAGCATTACCTAAGTGCGTGCTGCCCTACTAAAACTAGATCAGAGAGCAAGCAGACAATTAGTGAACTGGATTAGTAACCAGAGCCTCCCAACAAAGAAAAGCCCAGGACTTGTTGGCCTCACTGGAGAATTCTACCAGTTAAAGAGGAATTCCCAACATCCTTTTCAAGTTCCTCCCCAAAACTGAGGAGGGAATTCCCAGAGCCAGTTTTAGAACAGCACTGTTCTAATGCCAAAGTCATACAAAGGCACAGAAAAACGGTTGGCCAATGTTTCTGATCAGTACTGATGGAAAAGTCCTTAACAAAAGCTAGCAAACCAAATTCGACAATGCAAAGCAAGACTTAGACACAGTGACCAAACAGGGCTTATGTCTGGAAAGCTGGAATGGTTCAACAGATGAGTCAGGCTGCTCAGTCACATTAACAGAACAAGGGACAGAATCTTCAGGATCTTCCCAGTAGTATGGCATGTGCAGAATTCAACCCTTTCCATGACAGAAAACACTCAACCAAACAGTAAAGGGAGTAACAGACTCACAGCCTACAGTAAACTGGGTGGGGACAACTGACAGCCTGAGCTGGCAAGGTGGCACCACCAAGCCTGTCAACCTGACGTCTGTCCCCAAAGCCCACGTGGTGGAAAAACTGACCTTCATGTATGCACGGGGTACACACACACCTACAATACAATAAATAATACAATCTTGAAGGACTGAAAGCTGTTTCTATAGGACAAAGGAAAAAACCAAGGTGTCTGTTCTTTATATTTAATGAGGTGCTGGAATTCCCTAGCCAGGTTAACTATGCCAAAGAGATTTAAAAGAAAAAATCGAAATCTGAAAGTAAATGATCTGCTTGCTAAGTAATGGTCTTATTATAGAAAGAAAACTCTTTAATTTTAAAGTTTATTGAAAAATTGTTAGAATAAGCAAATACTATAAAGCGATAGGAGACAAATCAACATTTATCTTGCTTCAAGGGAGTGGTCTGAAAAGTAGTGATGAGAACGGTATATCCATCATGGTCACTAAAAGAGGAAAATCACCTTACCAGGGGGGCAAAGGCCGTCACCCTGAAAATGGTTGCTGAAGGAAGTAGAGAGCAGGCGTGGCAGCATACACCTGTATCCCAAGAGTTAGAAGACAGAATGGGACGGTCCCTTGAGTCCGGTGGTTCAAATCTGGCCTGTACAGCATGTATAGACTCATGTCATATTCATGGACTGGAAGACAAATGTTGACAAATGGCAGCACCACTAAGGCAACCAGCTGGTCAGTGCAAGTCCTATCCCAGGGCAATGGTGACTTTGCAAATCTAAAAATCTTAATTTTTGTTTGTATTTCTGTGTGCGTGCGGCATAGTGTATACGTAAGGAGTCCGAGGACAACCTGCAGGTGTCAGTTTTCTCCCTCCCACTGTGGGCTCTGGGGATCAGACTCAGTGGTCAGGCTCAGTGGTGAGCAGCTTCCCCTACTGAGCCATCATGACAGCTCTTCGTAGAAACTTGTATGGAGTTAAGGGGGACATGAAGAAAGACAGTGTCAGATACATTACACTTCTGGATTCCAAGGGTGGGGTAATCAAAACTGACACTTGACAAAAGTACACACACAGACCAGTGGAACCCCAAGTGGAGTGGAGACCACAAACAAACTTTCAGGTATGTGGTCAAACAATTTTCAACAAGGATAGTGGGATCACTAATGGGAAAGGCAGTACGTTTTCCAAAAGTTCAGCTAGTGGCACTCAGAAAACTGTATTCATATGCAAAACTATAAGCTTGCCGTTACCTTCTATCTTGTACAAAAATAACTCAGAATAACGTGCTCACTGTGAACCAGAAAGGCCCAGGGATTCCTCTATCCCGCCATAACAGTTGATGGCCCAGCCACGGCCACAATGGGAATTTGCAACAGAAGGGGGAAAATGAGCCAAAATTTCTCAGGCCCTGACTTTTTTCAAGTACTTTAGGAATGAAAATGTCTATCTGTCTGTCTGTCTGTCATTTTACATTCTGACTGCAGTTTCTTTTTTAATTTATTTATTTTACACCCCAGCCACAGTTTCCCTCCTTTCTTCCCAATCCCTTCCCCCACCCTCTCCATCTGCCCCCACCCCATGCACTCCTCCTCCTTTCTATTCAGAAAAGGGCAGGCCTCCTCTGGATATCGACAAAACATGGCATATCAACTTGCAGTAAGACTAAGCACCTTGTCTTTGGGATCCTATTCCTCATCCTGTGTATTTTTTATTTATGTTTTATATTTCTGCATATACTGTTAGGGATCAGCAAGTTCTATGGTGTCAGTGTAGTGATAGCGTGCCTGAAGATCAGAGTGCAGAGCTAAGACACTAGAAGCCAGGGAATTGTGGCACAAACCTTTGGTCCCAGAACAAAGGAGACAGAAGCAGACAGATCTCTGTTAGTTCAAGGCCACCGTGGACTACCCGAAATTGATCCAATCTAAAAGAGCAACAGAGCTCACACAAAAGTGATCCCAGCACTAGGGAGGTAGGGACAGAGGGATATGGCTGGGCAGAGAGCGGAATATAAGGCAGGAGGAGACAGGAGCTCAGATGCAGTCTGAGGAGAGGATCACCCTTTTGGTCTGAGGATTCAGTAAAGGCAAAAGGTCTCTCTAGTGACTGGCTATTCTGCCTCTCTGATCTCTCAGCTTTCACCCCCTAATGTCTGACTCTGGGTTTTTATTATTAAGACCAATTAGGATTCATGCCATAGTGTTCATGACCTAACCTGCTCTAAGAGCATTCTCTAGCTGTGACCATGTCCATTATAATCTTGAGGGGGAAAATGTCTTTTTAAAAATAAATAGCCAAGAAGGTGGGGGGAAAATAAATAGACTACAAGCATGTGTTTGAGCTCGCCTCTGGTATAAGTAGTTGGTTCCCAGGAGATGTACAAAAGGGCCAGAGAGCCTGGAATGCTGGTGCAACCCTTTAATCTTAGAACCCAGGAGGCAGAGACAGGCAGACCTCTGAGTCTGAGATCAGCCTGGTCCATATAATGAATTGGCTAGCCCAGGCCAGTCGGAACTACATAGCCAGACCCTATCTTTTTAAAAGGGAAAGGGAAAAAAAAAAAAGGCCGAAGATTGCTTCATTCTTTTAAAAATTTTGGTCAGTTCAGTTGCCTTTTTATTATTTTATTTAATGCTATTTTGTCTGAATATGACTTCGTCAGGGCCACAAAGAAATGTCTGCATCATCTCGTTCATAGCAGCCTGGCTCATGATCTCCACAGCAGACATTCAGAAACTGAATTTGCCTTCACTACTTACTTGGACCCACGCAGTTACTGGAAGCAAGATGGGAGTGAGGTCTCTATGTGCTTAGCCCTTGGTGTCAGCACGATGCTCACTCGGGAGCACCTGCCTAGAAACTGTGATACCCAGCTAAAGGACCAGTGATGAGGGCAACCTAGGCACCTTACTGACCTTTCAGAGTTCTACCCCCGCACAATGTGACCTAGAGGTCTCCAGGCCTTGTCCTCAGTCTGCAGTCACCGTGTGTCCCAGGAAGAACAAAGCCTTGCAGACCAAACCTCTCCTATGAGAGAATTCTGATGGGGAGACCCTACCTGCAGTACTGCAGTAGAACAACCATCTCCTGAGAGCCACCTTCTCCCCTCAAGTGAGGACTTCAGACTCCCTTGCTACATCAAGATGAGACAATGATCAGCCAGACGATGCCTTGGCCCCAACGTTTAATTATAGCACTGCTTGCTGTCTGCCCTCATTCTCACTCTGTGCAGACCAGCATCACGTGCCTGTGCTCAGGTGAACAAGGATACTGGACCCTCTGGTAGTCTTTCCAGTGTGCCACACTGATTAATCTCCTGTAAGGCACTAAGGTTTGTCTGCTGATTTTCACATGTCTGTAACATGGAAATACACCTCCTCCTGTGCATTTTAAAATTCTGGTAGGAGGCTGATGAGTGTAGCTCCGTGGTAGAGTGCTTCCCTAGTGTGTGCGAGACCCTGGTTTCGATTCCCCTCACCACCAAAAATAAATAAACAAAAATATAAAATATAGGAGCAAAGTGCTTCCCACTGAGCCTGAGGACCTAAGTTTGATCCTTGGGGCCTGTTGGGAGGAGAGAGTTCCCACATGTTGTCCTCCCTTCACATACAACACACACACACACGCGCGCACACACACACGCGCGCGCGCGCACACACACACGTGCGCGCGCATGTGCGTGCATTCTAATTACTTTAAAATTTTAAAATAATACTTATCTAAAGAAAAAAATTAAAAATGTTTGGGAGGGCTGGGGAGATGGTTCAGCAGTTGAGAGTGTGCCTTGCTCTTGCAGAGGACTTGGGTTTGGTTCCTGGCATCCTCATCAGTGGGCTGACAACTATCTGTAGCTCCACTTCTAGGGAATCTGATGCCATAATTGCCTTCTCCGGCACCTACATACATGCGGTGCACATAAACTCATGTAAGCACATGTACATACACATAAAATATCTAAGAATGACTTTCCTTTTAAATGTACTATATATTAGACTAATTTCCTATAATTATCAAAAATAATAAAAATAGCTAGGCAATTGGGTGACATTAAGAACAGATTAGATGATTAATTATGTTGACAAAAGCACTGTGAATAGGCAAAGTATAAAAGAAGTTTCAAATTTGATCTTGAGAAGACTCATGTTGGTGCCCCTGGCTGAGCAGGAACTGCCAACCCCACCCCCACACACCCGCCCAGTGCTGCACAGCGGATAACAAAGATCAAGGCTGCACTACACACATGATAATTGTTTGTCGCAAATTACGTAGCAGAACTGTATTTGCATTTTTCTCATATCTTACTTATTGTACATAAAACAGAGCTCCTGGGGCCCTTGGACAGAAGAGACACGCTGAATGAAGCTCTTGCTGGCCCAGCTTTAACACCCGAAGGAGAAAACACATTTCCAGATCTTCTTCCCTCCATTGGTCCCATGCACAGGCACGCCACTCAACAGAAAATGCCCAGTGGCCCTTCTAACAGGTAAAATATGATGAACTGAGAGTTTACCATGTAAAGAAGTGATTCACATTCAGCGCTTCACATACAGCCGTGCGCCTGCTGTCTGTACGCTGACTTTGTGTCCTGGCACTCTGCTGACAGGATTCCATCAGCTCCGAGGTCCTCTGGTGGAGTCCACTGGACCCTTTTTGTTTCGTGTCATCTGCAAGCGGTGCTCATTTGTCTTGTTTTCTTACTGATATCCCTTTCGTTTATTTCTGTTATCTTACTGCTCTCTTCAGGACTCCAGTCTCAATACTGAATAAGAGCAGAGCGCGAGAGCCCTTGTCACACTCCAGGTATTAGAGGAGATGGCCTCAAGTATGTTTTATTCAGTATAATTGTCTATCAACTTAATATATACAGACATTTTACTTATTTGATGTGTATGAGTGTTTTGCCTGTGTGTGTATGAGTGTACCATTTATGTACCTCATATCCACAGAGGCCAGAAGAGGATGCTGGGTCTTGGAACTGGAGTTAGAAGATTGTGAGCCACTGTGTGGGTGCTGGGAACCAAATGCTGAGGCAAGAGCAGCTTGTGCTCTTAGGGGCTGAGCCATCTCTGTAGGTATCCTGGAAGCCATTAAAATAAAAAGGCTCCCACTGAGCTCGCAGCTTGTGGCTCCACGTCCCTCCCTGAACCACACGCTATGGTGTCCCAGAACAACTGTCATGGGACTGTATGCTAACGCCTGCCTGACAGAATTCCTCTAGAATATGGTAAGGGAGTTTTGCATCAGAACTCTAGGAAGTGGTCTGTGAGGGAAAAACCTGGTTGAAGGCAGAGTCTATGTGGAAATACGGATCGAGCTCCCAAGAGTGTGCCCTGGGCACAGGGAAGGGACAGGGCGAACATTTCAGCCTGCACCATGAAAACAGGACCGACATCTGTGCTGAGACCCGAGAGGTGCCTGTTGATGGGGTCAGCACCTGTGACCCAGCCTGCAAAGGCGTCCCAGGGTTGTCCTGGTGTCCAGGAGCCTGGGGAAGGGACTGAGTGTCAGAGTTGGAGCAGCAGCAGGCGAGAGCCACCCAGACTGCACCCTTCCAGCTCTCTCCAGGTTACTCTTCCTTCACTCCACCCAGTGCCCTTATTTCAGGCCAGATCCGCCCTGCTCTGTCCTCTACCTCACCACTTTCCCTGTCTTTATTATTATTTCCTGTTAAATTTTCTACTTGATAGACTTATCTGACCAAGGCATATCTGACCTGGTTTGGGGTCTGAATCTCAGCCTGCTGGGAGCTGGGGTGGCTTCAGGTTAGCTTACGCCATCCCTTTTCTTCTTTTCACGGGACTGCCCTGCCCTCTTCTTATCTCTGATGTTTGCCTCCATCAGTGTAATATTAGCCAGGACTCTTGGCTCTTGCCTTCTCCCGTCCACATATTTATCCCCAGAATAACTAATGTGTGACTACAGTATTAGCAGTGTTCTCTTTAAGTGACTGGAAAGCAGAGGCTGGTCTTTTTGTGGTTCACCATTATATTTTCATACTGTGCCTATTCTCTGAATATTACTGGTATAGATTTCCTCAATAAAAAAGGAACAAGCCAGCAGATTAAATCAAAAGGCAGAATCATCCAGGCATGGGAACACACACCCTTAGTCCCAGCAAAGGGAGCTAAGCTCTGAGAGTTTGGGGCAGCCTGGTCTACATAGCAAGTTCCAGGATAGCTAGTGCTATAAAGTGAGACCCTGCCTGAAAAAACAAGACAGATATTTTTGTTTTGGTTTGTTTTCTATTTGTTGCCTCCAAGAAACATACCTCATCATCAAAGACAGACAGAGTCGTAAGGTGGGAGCACGGAGAGAGGAATTCCCAGCGAGCGGAATAAAGAAGCAAATAGGTGTCACAATAACTAAAAACCAGAGTAAGTCAGACTAAACAAAGCCGCTTCAGTCTGAGTAAGGGCACACTCTATCAAGATGCCAGTGTGACTCTAAACAGGCATGCATGGGGACACCCAAACCCGTTAAGCTGTTAGGTATGACAGTGTAAGTTAACCCCATCACAGTAGGAATGCGTGGCTCTAGTGCTGCACTCCCGTCAATGCGCAGGTCACCCCGACCACAAAGAAAAATATCTGAGCTAATGACATCATAGATCAAGTGGGTTTAGACCTCTGCAGAAATTCCAGACACTGCAGAATACACAGTCCTCTCAGCAGCTCATGAAATGTTTTATAAAATAGATCCTATCATAGAATATACAAAACAAGTCCTAAGAAAAATAATATTTTATTCTATATGACCACAGTGAAATAAAATGAAAAATTATGGAGTGTACACACAAATTCATAGAGATTGAGAAACACTGAATAATGAATGAGTTTCATAGTAAAATAAAAATTAAAACATTCCTAGAATCTACTGAAAGTGAAAACATATACAAAAGCCTGAGAAATGTATATCTATTCATAGTTCCATTAAAAAAATCAGGCCAGGTGGTGGCACACACCTTTAATTCCAGCCTTCAGGAGACAGAAGCCATCAGATTTCTGTGAGTTCGAGGCCAGCCTGCTCTACAAGAGTGAGTTCCAGGAGAGGCAGAGCTACACAGTGAAACTCTGTCTTGAAAGGGGACAAAAAGGAAAAAAAAAATCAAAGCAGTTTTAAATAAATAATCAAATGATGAACTTTAGGGTCTTGGAAGAAAAGAAGAACAAGTTAGGTGATGGAAAGAAATAACATCTAGATAGAAATGGACACAAAACAAAATCCCACAAAAAAAATCAATAAAACAAAGAAATAATTTTTAAAGGCGTGTGCCACTGCCGCCCGGCTATATCTTTTTTTTTTATTGAGAATAGGAAAAAAAAAAAAAGTTTCCGCCTCCTCCCAGC